AGAACATTTCGAACGTCCTCCTGTCTTGATTCCCGGTACCCAAAAGTGGGCTCCCCTCTTGCTCCACCTTCCAGTAAGTTCGCGTCGGCGCAAAGGTAGCTAGACCCCTGCTTACATCCACGGAAAATGGAAAAAAATAGTGTCCGTTGAGAGGAAACGTTCCATCATCTTCGAAATTAACATGCACCGGATACGTTTCACGCTAGAAATAGTTTTATTTCATTTGGGAGGAAAAATAACCGTAATTTCTTAAAACCGAGATGGAAAACTGGATGACGAGATTAACAATTAAATTTTGGAAAATGCCGCTTCACATAATGAAAATGAGACACTGAAATTAATTTATTTTGAGTCAGATTTAGTTGGTATTATTTAAATTTAATATTTTTTTGCTCTCTGTTTTCTTTTAGAATATTTTTATTTAGGGTTCTATTGCTGCCATGTACAGGCGAAAGAAATAAGAACGAATTTTTATTTTCTTTTTGAATATGCTCCTACTATTTCTTATAATATTTGTCACATTTTTTTTTTCTATGCAATATAGTGAGAAATACTTCTGGAAAGTAAATTACACACAAAAAAAGGTTACTTAAATTAACTACTCGGATAAATATTTTAAGTATCGTTACATACATATTATATAAAATAATAGTCGCAAAATATATTAAAATAAAATGAAACTGTCTCCATTTTTAAATTATTTGAATGAACAACACAGCAACAAAATAAAATCCCGATAAAATAATTTGGTGTCAAAAATCAATATTATTATTTTTTTCACTATACCACATTTATATATGACGATATCTTAAAATCTTTCTTTCTTTCTCATACACATCCATGTAGTCTTTTGATGATTTTAGTAAAGCTGCAATCAATTTTTTAAACACATTAAAGCCCTTTGTATCACACAAGTATTAACCCTTTTAAGAATTTGTTCTTTATTCATTTAGAAAGGAAACTCTAAAAGTAAGATTACAAAAAACATAATCTCTGTAATGAAAAAAATTATATTTCAATGAATATTTAAATTTAAAAAAAGGTACAAAACCTCCATATAATGATAAATAAAGGTTAGAAACAGAAAGAGGTATTATACGCATAACCAAAGTATTTCAAAATTTCTTAAATCAAAAAACCCATTTCAAGTCTCTCTCTCTCTCTCTCTCTTCCCTTTTTATCTCATGTAGTTGTGAAAAAACTCCACTTTTTTGGATTTGTGATTAATATTATCATTTTAAAAGAAAATAATCCTTTTTCAGATATTTCTTTTGTGTATGGGAACCATATCTCCTCTTTTCTCTCTCTCGCTATGTATAGAGAGAGAAAGAGAGTGAATACATACATATACATAGAGAAATAAAATCCCATAAAGAGATCCTCAGTCTGTCATGCTTATAGAAACTGTAACATTCACATTTTTAATATCCAAATTTTAAATTATTAGTTTTCAATTCTTTAGTACCCAAAATTCTTTATTGTCTTTCATCTTGAATATTTTAATATGGAAATACATGTGTTTTAACAATTATTAAATAAAAATAATGTTCGTTCTTTTTTCCTTTTCAGTTTATAACCCTTCTTATAATGAATTAAAGCACATTTTTTTTAATTATTTATGGGTGAAATACTCCATTTGAAATTTAATTACCGTAATGTCCGCGTTTTACGCCCACAACGCCGTATAACGCGCATTCACGAATTCAAGCTGCAATTTTTAATTTTTAGGTATATTCGCCGTATAAAGTGCACCCCCTTTTTTTAAGAAGAAACCTGAATTGTACGTGCGCAATGCTCTTGTGTTTTGAAGTCATTTATTTGGGGCATTATTTCAATTTTTAGAAAAAAAAAACAGCATGCTTCTGGAACTACAACTCGTTAAGTTCACAAAGAATGCACACAATTTCTTTTAAATAAACAATATTTCGATCTATACAGAAATCTAAATTTTTTTCTATGCTTATCTTTTTTTTTTCTTTTTTTTAAAGCACCTAGCTCTTTATACCCGGCGTATAACGTACACCCTTAAATTTCGATCTTATTTTTTGTGTTAAAAGTGCACGTTATACGCCGAATTTTACCGTATTCTAGAAAAAAGCTCAATTACACACGGTGGCAAATGTATACAAGAAGTACATGTATGACAAGGATAAGCAATACAATCAAATAGAAAAAGAAATATAAATGAGAATTGACTGTCATATTTCAAAGTTACACGAGAGCTATTGACCATAACTCTGAATCATAATCAAATGACGAAACCGACACCTCACTCTCCAAGCTTTCACACCATCGTGAGGATTTGGTTTATCAACAGATTAATTTTTCCTTATCCTCTATGCGTGTCGAGGTCTCCCAGCAGCAGCAGAACTCGAACCGACACGATTTGACAGAAATAATGTCATTCACGAGTTCGTGACTATGACCATTCGGCTACAGCGGCCACACAGCTGAATTTTTCTAATAAATAGTTAAACTATCTCAAATAACAGTTATTATTGACGTGAATAAACGCTATATTTAATTGTGCAGGTGAAGTATAAGTTTATCAACGTAAAAATAATAGTACTAACTGAAAAAATTGCAATGCAATTGTATAATTGGATGTAAAATATATTAGAATATAAAATATTGTTTCCTTCATAAGGATGATTGATTTTTTTATTAACTTCATATACTTTAAAACAACGTAAGAGCTATTGGCAGAATTCCCAAGGGAACAGAGCTCATCCAAAGAGGGTTTAGAGCTACAAACCGATCCCCCGGGAAGCAATCACCTTCACACTCAGTCTTCATTGAAAAAAATCAGTTTACATTGGAGATGAAGCTCATAATTTTGAACTGTGACCAAGAGATGAGGATGATCTTTAAGATGTAACCTCACTCCTCAAATTTCCACACCAACATGAAAACTTTGAGGTTTGATAGATTTAACATACATCAGCTCCTCAACATGGAAGTGGTCTTTAGTGATCGCAGGATTCGATTCTGTAGTTCAAAATCTCCGGCCTCAAATTCGCAAACATGACCACTTGGCTACCGCAGTCACTCTTTAACACGGAACTCTATTGTAACGAAGAGAGTTCAGAGTAATATACAGTAATTAAAAATTGCCAGAAGTAACGAAATATACAAAACTAATTGTTGCGTTCGCCCGGATGGAGCAATATAAGTCGTTATATATGATATTAAAATGCGATGAGAAAATTAAGGGAAAAAATATTTTAATTTCATGTTACTCTTCCGCTTGTTTAGTTTCGTCTAAACTTTAGTTTCTTGACTAAATATGATCTGGATATTGTTGTCCTGGCCAGTAAACAGTCCCGACTTCAATCATATCGAAAACTAGTAGCACCATTTGAAAACTCTTGTCCGAGTGAGGTACCCATGAAATAAAAAAGAACTAATGGACTTGTTTGTAACTAATGGACTAATGTGGAACTTGTTTCCTCGCATCATGTAATAACGAAGGAAGAGCTTAAAACTATTTTCAGTTGAATGAAAAATCGATGTGAAGCTATTATAAAGAATAAAGGCAACCTCACTAAGCTCTGGTAACTCACTACTATCATCAGTATCGAACGTATATCGACAGTTATTGCAGTATAACTTTTTTGGAATAGTAAGTATTTGCATTTTGTTTTTCTTATTGAATTCAATATTAAATTCTCTTTAAAAAGATATAAAATACTTTGCAGTTTGTGCTACGTAAAATTTTCTATAAGCATAAACACCTAAAAAACATAACAGTTTTAAAATGTGCCCACAATTTTGGCCACCACTGTGTATATATATATATATATATAAAGTTCCTCATTGGGAGAGTAATGTACATGTTTCTATATTCAGAAATATTGTTATTAATTATATACAACGTAATAAATTTCTGGTGTCAAAAAAATCAGAAATAATAAATAACTATAAACATTTTACTAAATATTACTTAACTCAGAAATACCCAATTAATTTTATTAATAGTTGTATGTATAAAGCTATTCAAAATAGTAAGGATTAAAATTTCTCAGATTGATAATAGTTTATTACTATATAAACTTAGATATTAAATAGTTATAGTTATCTCTATATTCTAATATTAGATAAAATTACTTATTATTTTATTCATATTTACTCTAGTGTTATTAAAGTTATGCTATAATTTGCAACTCTTATTAATTTTTATTTCAATTCTTTTTATACCTTTGTTAAGTGCTACATTTCAGCCATTCACATGATTTAAATCTGCATTAGAGTCCAGAATTTGGCAATAACTTATTTATTGCACTCAGATTTAGCGCGGGCTATGCATTTGTAAGTGCAATTTTTAGGTAAGTTACCTCTATCTTGTAATGGATTTAGATATTCCTATCCATTACTTTCAATAGGTTTTTGCTCAGTATTATTTACATAAAGGGGGAAGATTGACTGGCCAAAAAAACATGTTCAACCCCACTTTTATATAAATTATTTTATATATTAGCTGTCCTAAGTCAGCAATGTTTATAATACTGCAACATCCATTTTATAATTTTTAATCTCGGTTGCTCATATGTCCTTCATTGTGTGATTTTCCTACTGTGTTTACGTGTTTTTCGAATGTTATTGTTGGATGTTATCTCTTGTTTGTAGAGAATATATATATATAGAACATACATGTAATAAAATACTTTCTATTCATCCATTCAAGTTAAAATGCATTTTTTTTTTAAACTTGTAGTGGATGACACTCGATATTAATGCAGTTTTTTCAAATATTCATTCATTAGTTAAACTGAGTTATAACGAATATTGATTAATTGATTGATTGAAAATTAACGTCGCACTGTTCAACTACACGAGGGCTTTTGGCGACGGACCACGTAATTTTGAACCATGGTCAAATGACATGGACGACACCTGAGCTGGCAACCCCTCTCCTAATAGTTAACGAATAAATAGTAACAAAAAACAAAAATAATAGTCCAATACCATATATAAAAAGGAAAATCGCTCGTTGTGTCCCTGTAGTGCAATAGATAGCGCGTTGGACTTCTAATCCAGAGGTCGTGGATTTGAATCCTACCTAGCCTAATTTCTGAGAGTGTGATTTTTGAATGAATAAATAGTAACATAAAAAATTTAATAGTCTAACACCAAATATAGAAAGGGAAATCGCTTTCTATTATGCCACTTGTGATATTGTGATTCTGTCATAAGTATATACATATTTTTATTAATTATAATTATTTAATAAAAAGTAACTAAAATATAAAATTGTTCTTTATTGACCTAAGTAGGAATTGACTAAAAAAATTTTATATTACTTGTTTTATTTTATCATGCGATTATTGAGTCTATTTTACGATGTTAAAATTTTGATTTTAAAAGTTTTCGTGAAAAAACAGAGATCTAAAAGATACTTCTCTTAATGCCTAAAACATTTGAAATTATAAGTTTCTAAGCAATAAGTTTCAAAGACGTTTACGTAATTTTCCTATCTTAAAAACATAAAAGAATTTTAAAAGGTAATATTACAAAATGCTTATAAATTACAGGATTGCATTAGTTATATGTTTAAAAAGTTGATTGTAGCATAAATTTTCTCTAAAAAGTTGCATTATCATATTATGAACATCCTAAATTTAAAATTTATAAGACTACATCCAAAAATACAGAAATTAATCAAAATTACAATCCCTAATCAGTTGACCTTAAGAGACCGTTTACTAAAATTTTTAATATTTAATAGCTGATCAGTTTGTTACGCAATAAACAAAATTACAAAAAATATAATGAACAATCCATTTGATTTTTTTAAACTAATAGTATTAAGTTAAAAACTACTTTTTTTATTTAATAGCAATAAAAAGTAAGAAAAAACATTAAAATAAAAACTAATTAGAAAAACCTGGTTGAGAGACTTAATGGTTTAATCAAATAAAACTTTTTAAGCCATTTGAATAATGTTTCTTCTAAGTACTTTAATATATGATATTCTAGGAAATTTGTTATTATTTCTGAAATTCTCTCTCTCCTAGAGCATCTGTCGTCCAATCTCTATATAATGTAATGTGAAAAATAGATATTATGTACTCTGTTGTTTATGCGCTTTATTGTACTACCATTAAACCTTTTTCTTAATCTTTTTTATTTATTTACGGTCATCATAATGAAAAAATATCGCAAGTAAAAAAAAAGGTATATGTATATAGTATATATTAAATCCTATTTTGTCATATTTTGAGAAACAGCTTTTTCCTATTTTTCTTCAAAACTTGATTCCAGATTTTCTTTTTTCAATGTTATGTTTCTTATACTCCTCTTTTGTTGTTAAAAAAATTTATTCTTCTATTATTATGAAGTCAAGAATTTGGGATGATATCCAATTTCGTTTTGTCGTAATACAACAATCACTTTTTTGTTATAACTTTATTTTTATTTTGGAGAATAAATTTTGATTTTTTGATAATACATGAAACAAAAATACTAAAATCTCTATTTTTAAATGAATCATCGGGAAATTATATTCGAATATTTTTATATGTCTCTAGATCATACACAATCTATCCATATATAAGAGAAAAGTAACTCGCATCATGAGATTTCTGGAACTATTAGAACTGCAGACTTGATATTTATTAAGCATGTTTCTTTTGTTTATACAGTGTTCCGCTAAGAAAGAGTATTGCGGAAATCAGTTGAGTTGAGTTTGGTGTTTTATGGCGCAAGAGCCAGTTTTGGCTATACTGCGCCAAACATTCATAGGTCTGTGGTCTGGACGGGAAAAGAAGAAATTGGATGACAAGATGGAGGGTCGGAAATAAAGAAGGATCACTGGGGTACCCCGGGGTCGTGACACCCGTGTTTACCAAAGATAGTAAACCCCTTGGGAAAAGGAAAAGATCACTAGGGTACCTCGGGAATGTGACTCCCGTACCCACCTAAAGAAGGTGAGCCCCCTGAGGGGAGGAAATCGATTCAGAGAATGGGAGTCAAGGGCGTTACAATAGATAAATACACCTCTGCTTTAGAAATTCAAATGCTGTCACTTGTAAATCTAGAGACAAAGGTTATAAGAACGTTTAGCAATACAATAGAGAGCTGAATCCTAGGATTGAGTTATAAAAATATTTCTCTTACTAACTTTAAAAAAATATATAATCATTCAACATCATGAAATACCAAGCGAAGAGTGAGGATAACGACTGATTTACATATGTTTTATTAAAAAAGAACTTTTGCAAATCTTTCAATTAATTAAAATTCTTGGCCTTTTCTATTTTGTATATTTAAGCTATTCCTTTTTGTTTAAAATTCATGATACTGTTTTTTCAAAATGCTTCCACTTACGTTTGAATACAAAGCAAAGAATTTTACATAATGATTTTAACATCTTAACATTAATAACATCATATGGTACAAAAGATAAAAATATTTAAATGCAGTACAATTATTTTTTTTAGAAAGTAAATACAATACTTCTTCAGTAACGGAATTTTTAATAAATTATCAAAGAATTTTCCTTTTTTTTTTTCTCATTTTATTTTACAACTTTATATATTGGGTTGGGGAAAAAGAAATCCATTATTTTTCCATGAAATTCAAGACTTTATTTAACATGGGGTACCGCTTGTTCGATTTGGTTCAAATATACACGGTTTTGTTGTATAATTTGTTGCCATTTTAAAGGTCGCTTCATAATGCCTCTATCACAGAAGTCTTGGTCTTTATTGGTAAAAACTCTAGTAAGCGATTTTCACAATCTTCTCTTGATCCCAACTTCTTATCACTCAGGAAGTTTTGCAATGCGAGAAAAAGGTGGTAATCGCTTGGTGCCAGGTCCGGACTATATATTGGATGTATTAAAACTTCCCAACCAAGCTCCCAGAGTTTCTGGCGAGTCACTAGAGAAGTGTGTGGCCTGGCGTTGTCCTGATGAAACACAACACCTGTTCTGGCTATTTCTGGTCAATCACTAGCTTCAAATGGTCCAGTTGTTGACAGTAGAATCTGAAGTTAATGTTTGGCCATGCGGAAGCAACTCATAATACATTATTCCTTTCCAGTCCCACCAAATACACAGTAGAACCTTCCTAAATGTTAGTCCTGGTTTGACCATCGTTTGAGCTGCTTCACCATGCTTTGACCACAATCGTTTTCGCACAATATTGTCGTATGTAATCCATTTCTCATTTTCAGCCACCATTCGCTTAAGAAATGGGTCCATTTTATTCCGTTCGGCCAAGGCTTCGCAGATAGAAATTCGATCCATCATGTTTTTTGGTCTTAATTGATGTGGCACCCAAACATCGAGTTTCTTTTTGAATTAAACTTTGAGCAAATAAATTAAAACTGTTTTATGGTCGATCTTTAGCTCCTGTGTGAATCTACGACTACTAACATGCCGGTCAATTTTTATTATTTCTGTGATTTTACCGACATTTTCGACAGCAGACCTGCCTGTGCGAGGTGCATCGTTAACATCAAAAATGCCTGAACGGAATCGACGAAACCAAAATTGCACGCAATTAGCCGTTACAGTATCGGCACCATAAACACCATTCACAATTTCAGCCGCCTGACTTATATTTTCGCCTTTATCCAAGAAAAAGTGTAAAATGTACCGAATTTTCTCTTAGTTAACTTCCATTTTTAACACCATGAAACTCACAACTGAATGAACCAAACAAAAAGCAACAAAAGAATTTTTTTAGTGCGAAATGTCACTTAACAACGAGCATTTGAAATTGTTTGATCGATACTTCACGAGATATCGACACTACAGTCATCTACTGAAAAATTAATGGATTTCTTTTTCCCCAACCTA